TAGATATCAAACAATAATAAAAACTTGTTCAATTTTATTAGATTTTAGTAAAGAAACGCCTCTATCGTCATTTTTTAACTTTCAACCTTGAGCAAACACTGAAGGTGTAATTTATAGCACTTTTTGGTCTATTACCACATAAAAATCTGAGTTTCCTAAAATTTCCTTCAATTATTATTATCAAATAACAATAAAAATTTTACACCAATATAAATAAAATAAAAATTCACAAAAAAGGATTTCACGATGTAACAAGGTTATTAAACCTTCCTTTATAATGTATAACATCAAAATATTGTAGTTTAAAATTACAAACATTGTGGGACAAATCCTATTAGTTCATAGAATTTTACCACAAACTTCAGAAAGGTAAGGGCCGAACGTATTATTCTAGCATAAACAATAATAAACTCTCTTATGTGATTCTACGTTGAGGCTCACATTTTGTATGATTGTGTTGAGACGATATTATTGTCTGTTTAGAAATATAGGGATCATAGTAGAAACAAATGTGTTGAGAGAAAAAATTAAGCTTGTTAAAAGAGACACTTGTGATATTTACTAGAGATTTTATTAGAAATCGTGCTTGTAGGAAGTGTGGTATTTTTTTTATTATTTTAAAATAAACTAACCATCATCCTGTGCATGCTGACTTTTCTATAACATTCGTGAGTATATTTGTCGTAAGTTGTACGCAGTAGATGTGGGAACGAGAACAGTGTAACAGCTAAATCTCTCTACAACCTACTAAAGGCTTGTCTTGGGCTTGTCTAGAACATACATCAATTCGAACTAGGAACGTACTTCAAAGGCAGCCTGAGTAGGCTCCTTTCAAATTAGATCAGATAGGCGGATTAGCTTGGACGGTGGAGGTGAGTGTTTAACGCTCTTTAAATATGATCCCCTTAAACCTACTCCTGGATCTCAAGTTCCAGGCACTGTAGAACCTCCTCCCCTGCAAAGGGATGAACTCGCCACCCACACGGTCAATTCATGGTATTCTGAATTGTTTGCGTCTTCTATTGTTAAAATTCCAGTTGAAATATAATACAAAATAAATATTCATAAATATTCCTATATTATGTATTTAGGTGACATCGCCAAAGTTATTTCGTATATATCATTGACAAATTTAAATATTACCCGCGGTAACATTCCCTGTACCGGGACATTAGTCATCGCTATTTGGGTTCCTGTTTGAAAAATAGGGAAGAATTTATTCTTGAAGTATTACTTATGATAATATTATAACTTCCAATAAATCATGTTGGGATATTTCAGAAATCTTTATAAACCTTGAATAATACATGAAATATATTATTTGAAGCATCATGATTTTTCTAACATTAAATTTAAATGGAAAATATAGAATAAAATGTTCATCTCAATTCAAGTTACAATTTTCTCAATATTTCTCTAATGCTAAAACATAACTACAACATTTTTATACTAACTAATAAAGTAAAAATATAATACAACTTAATTTCTGTATGTATCGATGTGTATGCAGTTAGAACACTCAAAAAACGGTTTTTTGAGTTATGCAAAGTGATCACTTATGTGATTTAATCATTCTTATTTAATCTTTTATTCGTAACTTTATTTCATTTTACTCATGAATTGACAAATCCTTAAGGGAAGTAATTTGTGACAATTATCTGTACTCCATAGAATCCTTATTTACATTATCCCTAATACACACTTCTTTAAATTTACAATGGATACGATATTTAATCTATGTAACCAAATTTTTCAACGACCCTTCATGTTTCCCAGATATTATATTATGATTAAAATCTTTATATGGACAGACGATTATCATCAGTCAACTTAGTAAGGTTATTTGATTTCAACTGATATTAAAACGTACAAAAAACATAATTTCTCACAGAAACAAACTTAAACGTACTATTAAAACGTACAAAAAACATAATTTCTCCTAAGTGCCTCTACCCGATAATGTGGTGTAGGTATATTGTCTGATGAAGCCACATAAAAGATGTCTCCGGCGTTGAGATTTCAACTGATTACGAAATACTTTTTTTTGTATTGAGTACTTTGTTTTGGGGGTTAGCGAAGAAATAGCTTATTGCTTAGATCTATATTATATCTCGTTAACTGTTGAAGGAATCTTGCATTTTTACTTTAAATCTCGTAGCTCTACGAGGCTACCGTCTTATTTGTAAGTTTTCTTGCTGTGGCATATCTCCTGGTCTGAACAAGGAGATATGCCACACATTATACAGTACAAAATATATCTCGAGAAAGAGGCTATAGTGCGGGGCAGTAATTGCACAATTATTTCAGTTTCAGACTGTGGCCATAAAAATTTTGTTGAATATAACAGTATCTGTTGACCCCCGAGGGGAATAGTTAAGCTTTTCAAAATAAAACCTTAAAGTACATGAACAGCCTCCGATCATTAGGTATTAATATCTCCCCAAATAAACATCAAGCTTAAGTACCTGCGAGGAAGCGTGTTGTTTGTTAGTGAGAAGATAAATTCAGCAAAATCAGACATAAATATAAGCATTAGTGCATGAAGGCATTTTAATCTTAAAATGTGTGTTAGTGTTTGATAGCGATGCCGTTTTAGCTAAAAATGTTCAAGATGAAAACTAGAACACCAATATCGAAATAGAACTATATTTTTCTTTGCAATTGCAGTGATAATTCATACATAGGTACTGGTCAATATGTGAGATACCACTAAACTAGTATTTTTGTTCAAGTTGTTGTATGTAGTAAAAAGTAATTATTTCAAAATACTTATACTACAAGACAGTTAAACAATTTATCCTCATGAAAAATTAGGTATATTTTATATTTATAGATATTAACTGTCTGAGAAATAAAGGAATTGTGACCAAGAATATAATTTTATTTAATTTAGATGCTAAATCTAGGAAAAACATATTTTATTCAAGAGAGTTTTTTCCTTGTTCCTAAATAAGATATCTTAAAACACGTTAAATATAAGCTTCTTATAAAGTAAGTAATTTCCAATTGAAGTCGATTAGAAAGTCATTATGTTTTAAAACTATTACAATAAATTTGTAATAATAACATTATGTAATAAATATGTATTTTTTTGTCATTCTTTAACTATTTATTGAATATTTAATTTAAATTTTCTGTAATACATCATAATGCGGCCTATAGTGAACGCTGTAAATTACAATATAAATGTATACAATAAAGCTTTAATATCCTTTAATTATACAATATTAGTGTGAAATTATTGCTATAATAATGTTATAAAGCTAATTAATCAAATTATGTTTCTCGTATTAAACAATATTGGAAAATCCAAAAACAAATAAAAGAAAGTAGTATAGAATGAAAAATTCCAAAGCACTTTCCACAACTTGAACATATATTGGATTTTTTATTATCTCTGAGGAATTCTCAAAAACAAGTGTTCACTCCGGCTGAAGTGACAGACGGTACGATCTCGGCTTTTTGTTGAAATATATCACACAGATATACATACGTCTTGCTTCAAGTTATGTATTAGACACGCATAAAGGGAACTAGTTAATGCCATGAGTTCTATTCCCCTAAAAGCCTTGATCCATGTTGAACGCTATATATGCTAAATATGCTTCCTAAGTCTGTTGCTCACCAGACACGATTTAATTTCCTTAAAATTTCCTTAACATCCAAATCATACATACAACATTATTTAAGAAAGGAATATATTAATAAAAGCATCTTTATATTATTCGCTCCAAGATCCTTTGGATGAGAAATACAGAATAATGTTTAATTAAATTTTCTATTCATATTAACATAGCAAATTGAAGAAGCCTAAACCATGGAAATTAATATTCCTTAAGTAGATCATTTAATATTCAACCAGTGATTATACAATAGATTTGAAAACAAATAACGCTGTATATTATGAATATTTTCAAAATCTTAATATATTAAGGAGTTCATTTTTACAGCTATTTTCTTTATACTGACTTATATTACTTAGAACGAATCACGTGTTTACTGACCAGGTAAAAGTGGTGGTTCAAGTCCAATCAACAACCCTCATAGTTCTTTAGTCTTGCTGGATTTACAAACTTGTTTAATTAAAATAGAACGGTCTTGTAGCAACAAATTTGTTGTGGGCATAAAAATAAATGTATTTGATTTCGGCGCAACGATGTTCTAAAAGAAAACTATGATTAAATTTACTCCATCTTTAACTTGCTGAATTTCATTTTCGGACAAAATCACGGCCATTAGTATATAATTACTACTTAAGCCGAAATACATGAAAATGTTTGTTAGTTATTTAAAAAATAACAAATAATTTTCATCAATACAGTTGTGATAAAAATATTTTTGAAATGTGAAAATAACGTCGAACACATTACTTTTAAAGTAGGTTAAAAGTTCCTGAAAAAGTTTACCATTGTATCGGAAGCGACGGTCACCAGAGGGCGGTGTTTGTGTAACATAAACAAAGACCATATTAAATTTATTTTAAAATCTCTGACAGATGCGTCCATGTTGTTTATGTAAACTTACAATATCGCCTTGTTTATTAAACTTGTCACATGTCATGATTTGAATTATCGTCGGTTGATCGTAGATAAAAAATATCTAAGGTCATATGAATATTGTCATTTTAATATTCCTTATGTTAACAGAACAAAATTATATATAAAATAATCTATAAAAGGATTACGACAGAAATAGACTTTTGATAATTCTATTTTTACATCTTGTTGTCTATAAATATGATATTAAATAATTTATCGAGACCAAAATTGTAGCAAAGGAGACTCGATGAAGTGGAATAACGGTAGAAAATGTTATCTATAAAATAATATAAATATATAAATGCTCTAGAGTTATTTATAGCTAAGCTCAGAAATTCAAAATATTTATACAAATCGTAACTCAAATATTGTAAAAGGAATAAAATTATTTAGATCATTATATTAAAAATTTATGCTACATAAGTGACATCAAAATATACAATGAACATAGCCAAGACTTACTTGGTCTATCCAAATCGTTTACAAACTCATCAGTATCCACATAACCACAGCACTCGTTTGTCATCGTTACCAGTATAAACAGGCACAACATGCACGCACCCCCCGGGGTCAGCCGGACCACACCTCGGACAGACCCCATGAAAAGTTACATTTACACTTCTTAACAAAAAAAACTAGCCACTTAGGTATACTATCTCAATCCAGCTAATGAAATTAAGATATTATCCGATGAATTTTATGCGTTAAGTGACGTGCGTTCCGGAGTAAAGTCCGCGCCGTACTGATCCTAGAACAGGCGTGAGATGAAAATGGTTGTATGGGATAATCAGTCATTGTTAATGGAACTTTTGAATACGTTTTGTATGTTTTAATTAAGGTTTTAGTCAAATATATCACTGTGAAATAACCATCGATCCGCTTCTTAATAATGGATAATTAAGGGTATTGTTTTTTGTAACCTGGATTAATAACAATAAAATATTGGAATTAAAAATTTTACTCAATTTAAATATTAATATTTTCATTTTATTTATAAGTTGTATTTAAATATTATTTATTAATTTGGATAGTATGACGTACGGAAATGGATATATTATATAGATGCACATATTTAAATATTAATATTCCCGAAAGCGTCATTATTTCCATCCTTTACTATTAGCACAAAAATAAAACTTACCATCACAAAAACATTATAAGTAAATCACATGAAATCTCCGCTCTTCTCAACATGAAAATATTTCACTGATATTTTTTTACAAACATACTCATTTCTATAAAATAAATGTAAGAGAACATTTTCTGCTAGAGCACGTCACTCAAGCTTTAATCATGTAATACGAGCAATCACGACACATTAAGGACAACCAACGAAGATAAACTCACTCCATACAAGTATGTAACCAGAAGGAAAATACCAAATATTCAACATGTTATTTTAATGTACGGAGACTGCGGGAGAGTGACGGCTGTGCGTAGTTAATGCTGGGGCTTTAACTAAATGGAATAAATGGAAAAACGTCATTCGTTTTATATTTAATACTAAAATCTGAAACAATCACATTACCTGTACCATTTATTTAAATAAAAGTCTATTAAATAAGTTAATGGAAAATGTTATTAAAAAAAACAGTGGAAATATATCGTTATAATATGTATAACAAATTTAATTATGTTATAAATATCAGGGATGTCAGTCATTCAACTATTAATATATATGAAGCGAATTGATGGTTATTGTTTTTATTTTTTTAAGGAATTTAAATTTGTCTTTTACACATAAAGGCAGATAAGTATAAAAAAAAGACTTCAAAATTATTCTCCTAATAGATATAAATATAAATGATGAGATTTTGTAGGTGGTAGAGCCTTAATGGCTGCGTTTCGTTAGATGAGCGCGAAGGCTGGTTGCCCTTTCCCTTTTCCCATCATTTTGTACCCCTTCCCTTTTCCCTCCCTTTCCCAATTTTCCGTCCCCCTTTTCCCTAATCAAGGGTGGTGAGACATCCACAACATTTCTTATGTTGCGGATGCCCATGGGCAGCTGTAATACCTCCATCAGGTAGGCAGTCTGCTCGGTTGCCCCCATTACCACAAAAAAAAATGAGTATTGATCTCCTAATTTTTGTATTATGGACAGGGCGTCATTGGATTTGGTTCTGTTATATAACAAGATATTTAGCAGAAATATAAATTGGTTAAGCTTCATCATTGTAAAAAATAATTAGAAGATTATTAAAGTCAGCCCTTGCGACCAAACAGGGAAAACCAATTATGACTTGTGATTTATATGGTATAAGTCATTTCATCAATGAAATATTTATATTTTAATCTCTTTTATTTTCATTAAAATCTATCGTAACAGCACTTAATTGATTGAATTTTTTTATTTTATAATAGAAAAAATAAAGATTTTCCAGGATCAAATTTAGCTTCAAATTATGAAAAGGAATATATGTCGATTTGTGACATTTTAAAAATTAATAAAAAACATTTTTTTAAACTTAAGCTAACTATAATATTTTTATATTTAGATATCTTTCTATATGTCCATCAACTTACGAAATAATTATATAAGACTAGTTTTTGCCCGCGAATTCGTCCGTGTTATTTCGTCATTAGTAATGTATGTATAGCTGACCGGGCGAACTCTATTCCGTCTTAAATAACCAGGCATTGTTATTTATTAATTCTTTCCTGTTTCAATCAAACAGAATGATTGACATGTTAGTTAGTTGTCAAATCTAATGTCAAAGAAAACGTTTGTATGGGAAATAGAAAAGGGCTGTTTTTAGGGTTTTCCCGGAAATGAATAAATTTTTTTTAGCTTTCAAAACTTCCCTGAACCTCCACAAACATTTCAAGACTAAGATAAGATAAATCCGTTCGGCCGTTCTCGAGTTTTAGTGAGACTAATGAACAGCAATTCATTTTTATATAGGTACTAGAATATCCGGCGAACTTCGTATCGCCCTATAATCGAGAAATATTTGTTACGTTTTTTATTTATATTTTTGGAGTTTACCTATTAAAGCCATAAATCTCCGGGTTTTGATGTGCGACACAATGATTGACATATTAGTTAGTTGTCAAATCTAATGTCAAAAAAATCATTTGTATCAACAACTACTCATAAAACGAAAATTAATTAAAAACATTGTCCAGCGGACAAAATTGTGAATCTAAACCATTTCCAGATCCCCTTGAACATACACAAAAAAATTCATCAAAATCGGTCCAGTCGTTTGAGAGAAGTTGAGAGACATACACACTCACAGAAGAATTATATACATTTACCATATTGGAACAAGATTATATTATAAACATTTTAAATTCTATGCGTCTAATATTGTCGCAGTCACAAAAATGTATACGTTTTAGTGATTAACAAAATAGGGATTAGTTCAGATATATAAATATATGTACAATTATTAAAAAAAAACATGTACTGTCCCAATAAATAATTACTTTTTCAAAGGATTTCAATTTAAGATCATAAATATCTAAAAGGGAAAATTTTACAATATAATTACATTTCTGTTAACGGAAATTCTGTCGAGTAATTTTAATAAAATTTTCTGGGGTAAAATTATGAAATCTGTATTTAAATAAATTACAATAAAGCCAAATGGCTTTATCGGAAACAATAACTTTTTAATCAAGGCAAAACAGTCGATTACTTGCAACAAGCTAATGAATTTAAAAGTCTTAGACGTTTTAGCTCAAAACTGACACGCTTATGGATGGAGCTTGTAGCTCGGAAAATGCTAATGAATCTCAATGAGGAAACAATGTTGAAGAATTATAAATATAATATAAAGGAGATTTCAAAGACCGGCATATCTCTTTCTTATTTATGAGTGGCTGTGGATAATGACAGCCTCAACGATATTGCTACGAACTGGCGTTTAATTAACAATTTAAACAGGACATAAAAAAAGAACACAAATATTAAAATCCCATGTAAGATAACTTATATCTCTTTATACATACAATATACTGATTCTAAGTCGATATTCCTAATTCTTTACAGACATTAACAATAGGTATATTCTATTAAATGTAAAGCTAAAGCCTTTTACTACGTCTAGAACATACTTTGATATTGTTTTACACAGTACTTTTATAAAAGTGAACATCCCAGATCCCATAATGGTGACAAGAACATAACTCGGGTTATTGAGCTAAGTGCATTAAAGATTGTTAAAATAATTCAGTACAGTATTTGTCCGCGGAGTTAGTTTTTTTTATTTTAGGGGATAACGTTACGATATAACCCGGCCTGGCTTGGTACAGCAGAAGGTACGGATGGTTTTTCACTTCACACTTCGTTTTTTCCGCACCCTTAACAAGAAGTATTTAATGATTTTCCCCCTTCAATAAAAAGCAAATTTTTATAATTAAATTTTCACGTCTCAAAATTCTAACAATTGCCGAATATAATAACAATGTTTATTTTAAATCTCTGAGCAACATTTTCATTTCTTATTATAAAACATCTTCTAATTCTTGTTAAAAACAAACCTTGGTATGGTTCTGAGAATAAATAACAAGAATCTCAAAAAACTATTCACATATTTTCCCACCATCTAAGACTTTATATCTAAAGTTATAATATATAAATCTAAAGACTATATATTTTAGACTTTATACCTAATGTTAATAAATAAATATTCTTATATTGGGCTTTATTAAACAGCTTCTGTAATATTAATTCAATACAAAAGAGATATTGGTGTATCTTTGTGTTGAGCTAATGGAATAAATGAGGAATTTTATGAGGTGGTGGGCAAGCTGTGGTCAACTTATTTCAAACGCACATGAGCTGTCTCGACCGGGGAAATACAATCATCTCACAGAAAATCAGGAGAAGATTTTATGGCAGCGTTTCGTCCGAGTAAAAGAGTCGGTACCTCTTTCCCTATTCCCACCCTCTCCGCCTTTCTAAACAACTAATTTTGGCAACACATCCGTAACTTTGAAGTCGGGAGTGTTATCATTTGCCACTTTTCATATATAATAAATAAATAACAGTATGTTACAACAACTATCAATAAACTCCTCACAGTAAAAATATTCAATAAAAAATTACATACTGTTTTCTTGATAAATTCATTCATTTCTTTTATTCCAAGTTTTGTTTCCTCCTACGCACATAATTTAATGAGAAAAAGGTAAATGTTACGAAAAATTACCTCAGTTTTATAATATGTTGAGAAACCCGGTTAATGAAAGCTGTGTACGATGTTGAGCCAAAATGTCATTTTATTGGCTGGAAAGTGCTATCATAGAATCTTAATTTGCTATAAAACACGATAATTCTTAACTCAAAATGACTTCGAAACACAGGTTCTTACTAATATTTGGTAAAAGTATAATTTAATGTATAAAGATAATATGTAATACAATATTTATTAACTCTTGTTTTTAAGAGTAATTGAGTGTATGTAGTTTAAGACGAATAAAATTAATGCTAAGATGGGTGACGATAGATTTTCCTTCATCGAGTGCACAAATCAGTTTAGAAAATAAAACAATTAATTCCTTTTTTTTTACTTTTTTAACTTTTTACCTTCTTATTTTTTTATTTTACTGTTTTCTGAAATTCCATCAAGAAATTATTGGCAGAAGACAACTCAA